AGTATGTCAGACGAAGCCCCACATAGATAAATATATATATATATCTATATCTATCTATCTATCTATAGATAGATATCTAGATCTAGATCTATATAGATATATATAGATAAATATATATATTAGATGACTTTTCTTATTCAATTCCCTTAACTCAGAGGAGGAATGAAGAATACAGAAAACTTTTCATCACTTTAGATCGCTACTTTTCACCTATTCAATATTAAGAGGCTATTCTAGAATATGATTCATAAATGATCTGAGTACTTTATCTGAAAACATTATAATAATACCTGGGGAACTACTAGGTACAAATAAGTTTGCCTGGTTTTTTGTTTGTTCCTGATCTTCGTCATATTCAGCAGCTTTCACTTCCATTAAATCTGGATAAACGACTTCTTCCATAAAACTTTCATCTTGGCCTTCAGCTACATTTGGTAAACTTTCATCAAGTGAACCGTGTCTTTGGTAATAATAATTCACTGATCCGTGCTAAATGGCAAACAAAGAAAAAAACCAAACAAAACCACGAGTTTGCTTCCAATGATTAGTATGCAGATAATAGAAATTAACCTTATTATTGACTTTCAATCTGTCACCCAAATGACACTCTTGTGGAAGTTTTGTTACTTTGGAATTTCACCAAAGGAATTAATTTAAGATTTAGCATTATGTAATATCATTTTCCTATGTCCTTCCTTTGCAATTATTAAATGTAAGACTAATGAAATAGAACTAAAATTCAAGGCATTCTTTTCCTGTGCAAAAATATTTTGAGCTGTTTGACCATTACATTTTAAATTAATTTTTTATTGTGATATGAGTGAAAGTTTATTAATCAAATTGGTTTTTTATTCAACCATTTATATACATTTTGTTTTATAACATCAAATACAATATCCACAAAATAAAACACCTTTTTTTCTACTTTGGCCTTATAATTTGTATTTATTTCCATTAATCTTCTCTTCTGCCTCTTCTTGCCTCTGATTTACTTCCTTGGGCAACTGCTGCTCTTTTGACCTTATACGGATGGTCCAAAAAAGTGAGGGCTGAGTGAGGGCCTCTGTGGTGTTAATGTTCACCTCTAGGTTTGTCTGTTGTTTGGCTGCAAGTGGAGCCATGGGAATGAGTTTTGCTCCAGGCTTGAAGGGGCCTAAGAACCACAGTGTTAGGACTCCACTAGTCTCTACTAAATCCGGGAACCTGGTCTCTTTTAGGTTTTTAGATTTTGTTTTACATGTTCCCTCACTCTCTCCAGAACCTTCAACTGAGATCCCTTTTGGAGTGATGAGCAACAGCATCCATGTATCATTTAGTGCTTCTGGTCTCAAAGCTGTGGAAGCTGAGATTCCCACAGT